TCCACCATTTGCATTAAGAAGTTATCATCAATGCACTGGAGGAACCTCCTAGACTGTGAAAGGCTGGCTGTGTAAGTCTTCCAGCAGATATCGGGGTAGTTAAAATCTCCCATGAGGACTAGGGACTGTAGTTGTGAGGCTGCTTTCAGCTGCCTGTAGAAAGCCTCATCAACTTCCTCATCTTGATCAGGAGGTCTGTAGTAGACCCCCACAACTGTATCACCCACGCCAGCCTGCCCCTTAATTCTTACCCACAGACTTTCAACTTGCCCCTCATCAGCCTCTGCACAAAACTCAATACATTCTAGTTGCTCTCTCACATAAAGAGCAACTCCACCACCTCGCTTCCTCTCCCTATCTTTCCTAAAAAGCACATAACCATCCATGGCCACATTCCAGTCATGTGACCTGTCCCACCATGTCTCTGTTATTGCTACCAGATCATAACCCTTAGCCCGCACACTGACCTCTAACTCTTCCTGCTTGTTCCCCATGCTGCATGCATTAGCGTACAGGCATTTCAGGAAGCAAGCAGAGCACACTGGTGGGACCAAATCCTCCTTAGACCACCTGCCTTTGGGCCCTGGTGTGTTCCTCCTGGGCTTGTCCCTAACTGACCCAGTTTTCTCCCCTTCCCATCTAGTTTAAAGCTCTCTCTGTTCTTAATTATGGGAGTGTTTTTATTTTACTTATTATATGGGCTGCCTAGGGATTGTCTGTGGAATAATTAATAGCAAGAGGAAAAATCTCTCATCAGGATAAGCATTCTAAAAATTGCAAAAATCCTAATAACTGTTAATCTTTTCCAAATACAGACAAATGCAGCAAAATATTTTCCAAGAACAGGCCATTCAGATATTTTTCATTAATTAAGTACAATATTAATGAAGTGTTTACTTCAGAGAAAAAAAAGTGGTATTCCTCCACTTGTTTAATCAATTTTGTCCTAGCAACATGTCCAGAATTTCTTTTAGTTGTTAATAGTAATTAACATTGTACCAGACCTTCTGTGTAATATAAAAGTTATTTTAATGTACTGAGACTACTTGGCTTCTTTCTTTATAATGTGTAGAAAAAGAAAAAATGAATGAGAGTCTGCATTTTGAGGAGTATTTAACTTTTCTTGTATCTGTCTTGTTAAGTGTATAGGGTGGTGCAGTTTCCTGCAATATGCAATTTTTTTCTTGTTCTTACAATGTATGACAAATTAATGAATATTCTGGGTAAAAGACAGGATCACCTTTGAAGTTAATGAGTTGAATCAATATTTGTTTATTATTGTTTGTTACTAACTATGAAGTTTTTGCCCCCCCCAAAAAAATCTTCATGGGAAGTGCAAGCAGGAAAGTCTGACTTAGAAAAAAATTTCACGAGTCTTGGACTGAGAACTTACTGTGTTTCTCAAGGAGAAAATGAAACACTTTCAAAATGTGCACAAGTTCTCTCTCTGCCTTTGACCTCCGTGTTGCAAAGTCCCTGGGATGTGGATGCTGAAGAGAAGCCATGCTGCCAAGTAGGTGATC